TTTAGTTACGTAACCAATAAGTGAAATATTGTACATTCTGGATCAATCCGGTTCGTAGGAACATTATTCTCACTAAATTGCTAAGGACTAGAACACTCACGAACAACATGTCGAAGTAAAGAAAGCTTCATGTGCGTAGACAAAATGTTAAGTTTTTTAAGTCACATATTTTATTAACTTCACAGCGGACATCGACCCTATTATTCAAACGTGAAGACTTTCCATTTAACATAGATTTTCTATAGATCATTGTCAATTCTATTGGAATGCCAAACTTCGAGAAAATCTTCCGCAACGTGGTGCAACTCGCAAATATTCTAAATATACCTTATGGAGACACGCACGTCTAAGAAAACCGGTTTTGAGAAATAATTAGTCGATAATACTTTAGTAATAATAGTAGGCTATTGTCCAGCTATGAGTTGTAAATGGACTGTGATTGTACCGCTTAAGTCATCATAGCGGAAGGGAAGTAGTAAGCACTCCTCTTAAATTTCAAAATATACAAGCAAATGAAGTTCGGAAATAAAATTATTAATTTTAAATAGTTTTCTGAGTTACGTGCCCTCACATGATGTAACCTCTTGGAAGTGCTTATTAAACTAAAAATCGCTTCCAAGAAACGCTTGCCCAAAAACCTTATCAGAAAGGAGGGGATGGGATGTACCTAGCTGTGGGAAGTATGTATTGGTTTTTTTTATTATCTCTATCAGGCCTTTATCGCAGACTTCACATAGATTCCAACCTCGACGACCTCCAGCCTCCGGAACCTGCTGGTTTCCAAAAAGTATTGAGTACTTACCATACGCTTAGATGGTTAGCGCTCGCTGTAAATTTCACAATACGCGAGCAAACCGGGTTCGATCCCCGCCGGCACCAATGAAATTGTTAATTGCAATTTTAAGTGCTGATTTACCACGTGCTCGTCGGTGAAGGGAAACATCGTGAGGAAACCTGCATGTCTGAGAAATAAGAAAAAAATTATTTCGAAGACATGTGAAGTTCGCCAACATTCATTAGGGCAGCGCGGCGGACTATTCCTTGCCCTCTCAGAAATGAGAGGAGGCCTGTGCCCAGCAGTGAGACGTATATAGGCTGTAACTTTACTTTAACTTTTAGTTACCATAGGTCTAGTAGCTACCATAGACCACATACATAATGTTAAAAAATAAAGTTACAGCTGATGATCGTCCCACTCCTGGGTACATTTCTGAGAGGGATTTTAGGGCAAGGAAATTAATGTCCGCTGCGCTGCCCTGATGCTTGATAGCGAACTTCACATGTGTTCGAAGTAGTTTTTTTTTCTTGTTACTCAGAAATGCAAATTTTTTACGTCACCGATTTTCCCTTCACCGACGAGCACGTGGTAAATTAGCATTTAAAATTGAAATTAACAATTTCATTGGTGCTGGCGGGGATCTAAGCCGCACATACCCTTCGATAAATGTACATAATGTATAAAAGACCAAAGAGTAATACACACAATAAACCTAAGCACTATGTTCAATATCCTTAATAGTGGCTTCCAACGGATAGGTCCTAAGTGAAGATAGAATAAACGAAAGTCGTGTGCAATATCCATGTCACACCTATGCCGGTGGTTGTGTGGAGCACTAAGCTAAAGACAAATAGTCCAACCTCGACCGACAGGTCAATCGACGGATTCACTCGGCTGGGCAGCGTTCGAGAGGTTACCAGTTACGACGCATATTCTCGTCAAGCATACCTCAAAACTTCAAAACAATATTTTACTACTAGTGCGTATTAGTAGTGATAACCTATGGATGAGACTTGGTCCTTCACTGCTGGCCATATGAGAAAGTCAAGTTTGAACAGTGAGCTATAGAGAGGGCTATGCTCGGGGTTTCTCTGATTGATAGACTTAAAAACAAGGATATCCGCAATAGAACGTAAAAGTAGAACCAGACATCTACACATGCCCTCGATCAATATGCAGAATGCGTTGTTACCCCTGAGGACTATAGTGAGATACTTCATTTTAAGTAAAAAGAGTCTTCGGTTCTCTGCGCTCACCAAATGAAACACAGCAGCATTAAGTTGGCTTTATCAAATTTGTTTTGTCATGTATTTATATTTAATTTTTAATTGTTATTAAGTCAACTTTGTTAATTTAATGCTTGTGCCAAGTCGCTGAATACACGTTTCTAAATTGATGCGCAACAATGATCAGTGGTATTATTTTCTCATATTCCGATTCGGAATCATTCTTATGATTCAGATAAACCATTGCTCACAAATTCAAATTTTCATATTACAATTACTCTTATAAATTGGAACTATTTATTAGACTAGTGGTGAAGTTTTAATGTAATTGTTCAGACGGAATTCTAGTTATCGCACCTAGATTTTTAACTTGTGATTTTTCTTAGTCCGCTAAAAAGACTCGTACCGTGTAGTAGCAGGGTAAGAATATTCATTACCCAATATCGTCCCTTGAGTGTCATAAGAGATGACAAAGGAATACCGGAAGACGTGATAAGCAGCAGCGTCTTTCTGGTAACAATCCAAAATAATAAAAAATACTGTTTAGGCCAAATCGTAAAAACTTAAAACTTGCGAAAATGCTCATTAGGCTAGAACAATCAATTGTCCGCGACGGCTGTGTCGGTTAGATGTCGGGAAGTTATGTTAGAATCGTTAGGTCGCGTTAAGACCACACCCTTTGAGTTGTATTATTTTGTTCGTATACGTAACAACGAGGCTTTCCTTGAGTTTGAGTGATTAATTTAACTTCAATTGCCATTAATTTGCGTCGAACAGTTGTTTGCATGGTATTTTAATATCGTACGAAGGAATTTTTGCTTTTTCGGGTGGAACGCTAAAACTTTGTGACCCGGGAGAGATCGCGTTCTTCTTCGATTATACTTTTGTGCTAAGTGACGTTAGACTTTGAGTTCAGATAACGATGAAGCCCACGGCAGTGATTGCACCTTGTGGAGCAGGGCAACGCATGTGGGTCCGCTGGCCGATTACATCGTTGACGTCAGGTTACATCACACACCCTCTTACACCACTCACACCTACCATTTACTTGCCCCTGACGGTACCTTGTGGTCGACCCTACCTCCGGAACTCGGTAAGTTTGTGTTTGCTTATCCAGCCATTACCTAATAATTATCCATAGGCCATTAAGCCCCGAACCCTCTGGTTGCCCGTCGAGTTGGGTTACTAATGGGCCCTAGCCCAGTCAACTTCTGTCGGGGCAACTGAGGCCTGTAACAAATACTGCGATTACAAACCCGCTTGCCAATCTCGGCAAGTACCGAAAAATTCCCTATATCAGTATTCTTATTTTCAACAGGGGACTTTTAATAGCCTGTAATCGTAATGGTAAAAATCATTTCTAAGTACTAAATACTTCTAAGAATAAAATTAAATTAGGGGGGGGGGGCAGGAAATCTGCACGTCCGAGAGAATAAATAAAATCCAAAGATTTGTGAAGTCTGCCAACCCGCATGATGAATAGAAAAGAGTAAATTTCTGTGTCCAGCAGCCCTGCCCAATTATAATGAAAACCCTGATAGAGTTAAGAAACACAATCAAATATTATTCTTCAACCATTTTAAATAGCAGCATATTGTTGCTGTAATTTGTATGGTGAATATCGAGGATTGAAAACCTTTTATACAGCTAATGAAGCGTTCCATCTTGGCCTCAAAGTGAAACAACACATTTGTATTTTAATGCTTAATGGTGGATAGATGTAGGTGCCTATAGGCCAAATCAACTACTTGTATTAGGTGGGCTATATGCGCGTTTGTTATCTTACTTCTTCAAAAATATTATTTATGTTTCGTAGAATTAATTACAGTTTTAAAAATTAAACAGGTGTTGGGCAAAATAATGAACTAAAACAAAAATTCAATGGTTTATTCTCGGTACATTCAAAGCGTTTCTGGGCGCCTGTATTTTACAATTATAATATAATTATGTACAGATATAGAAAATAATTAGTAAAATAAGTTACAATCGCCAGTTTTAAAAATTTTACGCTGTTATGAAGTCATTTGAATGCTAGTTTATATTTGCCCATTTACTGTTAGTAGAATTCATTCACATGTTTCTTAATAATTGTATGCTTGTTATATAGGAATAATCATTTCAAGGCAAAGCTATTATGGTAAACTAGCACAGTTCTAGCTATGAGAATAACGGCACCAGCTTGTATTCCATTTCATAGACTATACTGTCGTATTTATCTAAAAATTACAAACACGAAAGCACATAGTAAACACTTAATAGTTAATATATTATCTTTAAGCTTTTATATTATAATTAAAGAATGAGAATAGATATATAAAAGGAAACTTAAAAGAGACGCTCAAATAATGAAAAACCTCACCGGAGTTTATCATACATATTTTTTTTTAAATCGTGATTTTTTTTACTTGAGTAACATCTAGCTAAAATGCTGAAATTAAAAAGACTTTTATGGAAAACTGTTCAAATATGGCTATTCTAGAAGACAACACTGCTTTGTGTACATTCATTATAATATATTACACTAGCGTTAATATAGTGCATTGTCATCGAAATACACCGACATTTTCTCGGTCAAAAATATAACATTTCTCTTTCTTTCACTCTAAAACTTTAGAGGTAAATTAGTTTTCTATCTAAATTAAAAGTTAGACATATCACAAGCATTCGAAACCGATATTGAAAAGATATTTCTTTTATTTAATATTTGCAATTTTTTTAAATATTACTGTATCGCTTTATTCATAGCTATTTATTTCATTTTAACTAAAGAATGAGTGTTGCAATTTTTATGTCGATTAATACCAACCTGCTTGTCTAATATCTAACTATTAAAAATTCTTAAATATTAGTTGCGATATTGTCGGCGTACTTTTACAACTATTCTCAATTATGTCAAATGCAGTTAGCTTAGTCCTTAATATAATTAGCATCACAACAGTCAGATACATTATTCACCACATATTTAATGAAAATTCTCAAACCAACAGCAATAATAGTTAAAACGTTTTTATAAGCTCTGAATGTGGCGCCGTGAACTTTGCAATGAAGTTATTGTCTTTGGCATTTTTCTCTTTATTGTACACTGAGAGTTTTTTGCCTGTTAGTCCGATTTCAGACTTGTTTTGCCTAGTTTTGATTTGGAATGAAATTAATTGGCTATGCTTTTTTATTTTACCCTGTTTTATATTACACGCACTGTCACTAGTTTTTTCACTTGTGTTTATAACATTTTTCATATTTTTTGACTTAAGATCATTATTATCAAAAGTATGCTCCTCTTTTTTTCGGTCTTCTTTATTCTTTGATTGTTCAACATTGATAATAAACTGAGAGTGGTCGAAGCATGTTGTAGATTTCTGTGTACACAATAGTTTTTCTTTAATTCGGAAATAAGTCATCAGAAACACAACAGTAAGTGATGTATAGTAACCAACAATAACCCTTAAACTCTAACACGTAAAATAAACAGCGCACATGTCAGTCAATGCTAAAGCCAACACCGATAAACACTGTTTTAAATTTTAACTGACGACTAAGAACACTGGAATTCTTAAAATAAAAATTCCTTCTAATATCTACAGCCTTTTATCCACACTAAGTAGTGTTGTTTCCACACAGCAAATAGTAACTGAATAAATTTTACAGGTAATTAAAAATACAAGTCTATTAGACTTCTTTTTGTCCAGAAGCTTATTTAGGACAGTAGCAGCACACTCCATAGGATACAATCTGAAACCAATTGTATTACTGCCGTCGAGCAGTGCACTTAGTTTTGTCTAATAGTTTAAAGGGTAAGGGAACCACTTTAATAAGAAGTTGTAAAGAATTTCATCTTATTCCCCAGGACCGACAAAGCATAGATATATATTTGATTTTGGTTGTTAGCGACAGATGTCTGCCGGTTGAAGTAGGAACTTACCATCAGAGGACTGCTAGTCTGTCTGTCACTATAATATAAAAAGTATTAGTAAAATTTCCACAAATATACTAATTTAAAAAATTAGATAGTTACTATTGGATTTAATCCTTTACTGTAGATTTGAACTCGACCTTCCAATTCCATTTTGAGTCGCCAATCTCTCAAGTACAAGTGAACTGCGGCCATATTGGGCCACTCTCTACGCCAAGTTTGCCATCTAGAGAGAAAAAAAATCACCAATATAGTTTCACTAATGCGTTTATAAATATTCAAAAGCAAGAGTTTTTACAAACTGGTTAAAGAAACGGTTTCAAACATTCTGAGTCAATGAAAATAAAGTATTAAAAATATCAAAGATACCTTATCCCCTCGTTTGTCCAAACGCCATATTCTGGCGTCTCAAAAACAATGAGATATCGACAATAATAATTATTTGTGGTAAATTGACGGCGTAAAAAATAACAAAAGGCTGATTGCTTTGTTGGATGGATTGGAGAAATATCTAATACAAATGTTTTTATTAAATCGTTACAAAAAATTATAAAAGAACAAAATTTTGTTTTCTAACCTAGTCAAAAGTTGCAAAGTCCTTGATTTTTGTCCCAGTTTTCTATACATCAAAGCAGTAGATCGAAACGAAATGAGATCTCCCCTTAATGAAGTTTTAATATTTCGATTTTTGAGTGCAAGCCTTGTTGCTTCAAGGTAGAACTTGGATGCAGGTCCAGCGAGCCCTGAATAATAAAATGTAATAGAAAATTTACCTTTAAATTTTCATTATTACCTTAATATCCCATTTTCATACCGGCTGACAGCTCCACAAAGTGGAGCTCACGGCATATACTCGTATGTTTTTCAAATTCAATGTTTTTTATTGACATTTTTCTAATTAAACTAATTTTACGGATATTATCGGATTTTACTATTATATTACAGATTATCCCTTTCAGACCTGAAAATTTGATTAACGTCGATCTTACATATGTTAATTTTTTTCATAAATAAAGAAAAATCTTTTAGCTAAATTCTTAAAAGCGCATATCACGATCGTAAGTTCTGGGTTTTGTCTCTACTAACTCAATATCGTAAATTCATTAGTTAGTAATAATAAACGTTTATAATTAACTTATTAGGTATATTAAAATTAAATAAACAAATATGTAATTTAACTTTAATAATAATACCTGGTTGCGCGGAAAACCATTCGCGTTTTTTATTTTTGACGGTAGGAATTTGTCGAATCATTATTCCCTTCCGAAACAATATCATTCGTACCCTCCTATCGACACATCGGGGTGGTGGGGTGGAGGGGAAAGAAGACGATTCTAGAACATCGCGTAATAGGTTTGAGGTTTGACCGGGGAACTAGATTTTCGGCAGCCTTAAACACGTGGCTCCAACATTTTATGGTCACTTCGGCAGGATCTGGATTGGTGTTTAGTGGTTATCCAACCATTTTCTGGTCGAATTATTAAATTAATTGTTTAGATAACGCACTCTAACTTATGGAATAGACTTAAATAGTGTTCGTTTAAATTAAAATTTTGATTTGTTACTCGCAAACAGAATTATTCATTTAATAGCGCTCGTATTTGGTTAAATTTAAAGCTTATTAAATAATTGAAACGGCGTGATAGCAACCGTTTGATACGCTTACCCCACAATTTTATAAAATTATTAGGTTTAGCAAACGACGCGTAGCCTTGACTGCATCGGGCGCTCGATCTGATTACGTAATACAGCACGCCGAGTATTCATCCTACGTCGTTTATGCGTGTGAGATTAATTGTGATTAATATAACTTTATTATAATAATTTAAAATGGCAGTTAGTGGAAGTGAAATCAAAATTAAAACGCTTTATGCCAAGAGGGACATACTCTTTTCGCGTGTGCAAAATATAAGTGATTATATAAAGAACATTCATATAGAGGCAGTACGGGAGGCCTTTTTAAATGAAATCGAAACGATTGATAATTTGCGGACAGATTACGAAAGAATATTAGACCAAATTAATCATTCGGAACTACAAACCGACCCGAAATACATAGTGAACTACCAACCGCTGCTGGCATTCGAAGATATGTTGTGTCGCGTGAAGAGAACCGCAAAATTGCTACAATCTCAAGGTGAAGCGAAGCCTGAAATGCAGGTACGCCCTCGTGACTCAATTAGGTTACCGCCAATAGATATTCCGGTATTCAATGGTGATATTAAGACGTGGCCCTTCTTCTTCAGTAGTTTTCAAAACAATATACACAACAACCCATCGTTATCGGACGCTGAAAAATTATATTACTTAATTAGCAAACTTAGTGGCAGAGCACAGTCGATCTGCTCGGGTTTTACACCTACAGCAAACAATTACGTATTAATATTTGAAACGCTTAAAACTAAATATGAAGATAGGAGAATGTTAGCTTCCGAATATTTGAACCAGATATTCGATCTTAAACCTATATCATCCGCGAACATCAACGGCTTAGAGCAGTTTCTCGATAAATTTGTGGCATCGGTGGCTGCACTTAAGAATTTGAAGTTTGATGACCTTATGGACGTGGTGTTTCTCCATATAGCATTAAAGAAATTAGACTCCGACACCGTGCGTGCGTTTGAAATGGAGCATCGTAGCTCGGAGATGCCTTCCTTTCATTCATTAGCATCGTTCGTGCGAGATCAAATAAAGGTGATGCAGCGCTCACCGAACGTTAAACAGGAGATTAAAAGGTGCGTCGACCGTAGACAGACTCAATCATCTAAAATAGCAGGGTCGTTAACTTACGTAACCGCTACGCCGACATCGCTCCAGCATACTTGTATAGTATGTAAAGATAAACACGGTAACTTATATAACTGTGCGACTTTTCGTAAATATTCACCAAGCGAACGTTATAAGTTAGTAAAGACAAACAACCTATGTTTGAACTGCTTAAGCGATAAGCATTTAGTTGCAAAATGCAATTCGAGTTCCGTATGTAGCAAGTGCGCCAGGAAACATCACACGCTATTACATTTTGAAAATAGCAACATAGCGGCGTCAAGTAAGGCGAATAAGGAATTCACCCCTACTAAGGTCAACGATTCTAGCGGTCGACCTGATGATGTCGCTCTGTGCTCATTGGCAAATATGGGAGCACAACCTCCTTCAACCGTGTTACTGGGTACGGCGCGTATTTTGGTTAGGGATTCGCGTGGAAACAAACAAAGCGTCCGTGCACTGCTGGACAGCGGAGCCCAAAATAGCTTTATAACACGACAATGTTGTCAGCGCTTAGGCTTAGTAATAAATAGGTCACTTTCATGTCCTGTAGTTAAAGGCATCGGAGGTACTAGTAAAGCGACACAGGGATATATAAATTTAAAATTTTATTCTCGGATAGATCGTAACGTTAACTTTGATATAAATGCACTAGTAGTAGATAGGGTCACTGAACGGTTGCCAACCGTTTCGGTTGACACCTCGGCAATGATTGAATTTAAAAATTTGACTCTAGCAGACGACACTTACGCCGTTCCTGGAAACATAGACATGCTCATTGGGGCATCGCTTTTCCCTCATCTTTTGTTAAACAATAAGGTCAGGGGCAACTCCTCGCATACCGCGCCTTACGCACTGGAAACCGTATTGGGCTATGTGATCCTTGGCTCCGCCCCCATCCTAGATAGTATTTCGGCAGCATCTTATTGTGGTATGGCTGTCGAACCGCTCGAGTCGTTAGTCCGCAAATTTTGGGAGATGGAGGAGGTGAACGTCCCACCCATAGCTAGTTCAGCTGACAGGATATGCGAGGAAATTTACGTCCGCACGACCGTTCGTGATCGCGACGGTAGATATAGTGTAGCGCTACCCTTTAAGGGAGATGTTTTATCTCTCGGCGATTCGCGTCAAATGGCGGAAAAACGTTTCTACAGCTTGGAGCGTAGGATGCTCGCTTCGCCCCAGTTAAAGGAAGCTTACGACGGCGTCATTAACGAATATATAAGAGAAGGTTACATATCACTTGTGGCTTCGAAATTAGATAACTACGAAGACACACCGTCGTATTTTATACCACACCACGGAGTCATTAGAGAGGACAAACTTACATCTAAATTACGTGTAGTGCTCGACGCTAGTGCTAAAACTAGCACTCACCTGTCGCTTAACGATATCCTCTATAGTGGGCAAAATTTACAGGGCAGCTTATTTGATATAATAGTCAATTTTCGTTTGTTTAGTATAGCACTATCCGCCGATATTCGCCAAATGTTTCTTTGCATAGGGGTCCGTGAATGCGACCGTAGATTCCAGCGCATTTTATATCGTTTCAACCCAAAGGAACCTCTAATGGTGTTTGAATTTAACCGCGTTTGTTTTGGTTTAAAGTCGAGCCCATTTCATGCGTTACGCACGGTGAGACAGCTCGCTCACGATGAAGGTCCCTCTTATCCTAAAGCTAAGAGGGCAATTGAGAGCGGATTATATATGGATGATTTTGTGTATTCGGTCGATAGCGTGGAGGAGGCCACCCTAACCACCGCCGAGGTTATAAGGCTCATGAAATCGGGTCAATTCGATCTTGTGAAGTGGACTAGTAATTCGCGTCCGGTTTTAGATACAATCCCACTATCACACCGTCTTTCGGCGATAAAGGAATTCGACGATTCCGATACACACAAGGTGCTCGGTCTGTGTTGGTCACCAGAGTCCGACGTGTTTAGCCTTAAGGTAAATCCGCCCGTAGAGAAATGCACAAAGCGCACAATACTGTCATGCGTTGCTAGATTATGGGACGTCATGGGTTTCGTAGCTCCGGTGGTATTATACGCTAAGCTTTTGATTAAACAACTTTGGTTATTTGAATGCGATTGGGATGACTCGCCGCCTGACAGCATTGTTCGATTGTGGCAGCGCTTTAGAGAGGAACTTCCTTTACTAAGAGAAATTAAAATACCGCGTCATATAAATGTCGATAGAAATAGCAGCATAACGGTTGTTGGATTTGCAGACGCCAGCGAGAAGGCTTACGGGGGCGTTGTATATTTCCATGTCCAGAATAATGGTAGAAATTCGATTAGCCTCATTAGTTCTAAGTCGAGAGTCTCCCCCCGTAAGGTTGTCTCTCTGGCGCGCTTAGAGCTTTGCGCAATATTAGTACTCACCAAGCTTATTACCACAGTTATCGGCGCATGTAGGGATAGAGTTCACATAGAAAGAATATTTGCCTTTTCCGACTCCACCGTCGCCTTATGTTGGGTTCATTCTTCACCCCACCGTTGGGATACGTTTGTCGCGAACCGAGTGGCCAAGATCCAAGACGAGTTAGAAACGCGGAACTTTCATCACGTGTCCGGTAAGGAAAACCCTGCCGATTGTCTATCCCGGGGACTCACCCCGATGCAAATAATGGACCACCCGCTTTGGTTCCATGGACCTTCTTGGGTTCACTTGGATCCCCTCACAATGGCCAATAACCGATTTCGAACCTTCGTCAGTGTCACAACCGCCGGAAGAGAAGAGACACGCTCTAGTGGCGAACGTTTCGAGCGAGGTTTCTCCAATCATTGCTCTGGCGAACCGCTTGTCCTCTTGGTCGAAATTATTGCGTAGCGTAATTTACGTTTGTCGATTCGCGAAGCTTTTACCGCGACGTTCGTATGTCTTAGCATCCGATTACAACTATGCCGAGTCGCTAGTATTACGTGAACTCCAACGTGCACACTTCTCTGAAGAAATTACAAGATTACAATCGAAT